CTTATGCCTGCAGGTCCATACTAATGCTACAATAAAACAAGGCAAGAACTGATATTTTATAATTACACTACCAAACTAAACAACCAGGGAGTTTCTAAGTTTCTTCCTTATCAAGTGAATGCTGCCTCTCATTAGGATAAGTTTGATGGTCGCTAATTCATTTGATTTAATTCGAACGTCTAATTTTCACCTTTTTTCTCTATTTTTCCCACATATTTCTCTTTATAACTTCACTCCTACATGTCCGATTTTCACCACTGTTCTTTTATCCTATTCTAAATTTAATAACAGTTTTAGTAATCTTAATTTTAATTCATAGGTTGCCAAATCTCGTCGGACTTCTTAAATCTGTAACCATAGTTTTTCAAATCTTCCTGTGTAAATGTACCGAATCGCCTGAAGTTTTAATGTAGCAGCTCCACTGATACTATGCCGATTTTCGGCATTGTTGTGGCAACATGTACTTTATCTATTACCTACAGCATATGTAAAAATCAATTTGATTGGTTAATAAACGACATCAGATTTTTATTTTTGTAAGAATCAACTAATAGCAAGTCAGTTTAGAAGCCAATGTTAGAATAGTGAGCGAATATTTGACTGTATGTTCGAGCAGAAGGAGCTTAATTTTGGAGTTAAAATTTAGAATGTTATTTCTTTATCTTGAAATATTATTTTGATTTTTAGTTGTATATTAGTCTCTGTATATTATACACTATGAGCCTGCACCTACTACTTTCTCTACCTTCACACAAACTAAATACCTCTATTGCAATGGTACATTTGCACGCTTTACCAACCAGCCATTGAATTCGCTTCTACACGATAAGGGAATTTATCAAACCGTACACAAAGGCAATTTTGACCAACTGGGTGATCAAACTTATCCTAAAGGATAAACAAAACTGGTTTTCCATTGCATGAAAAACCCTGGAATTGATAAATAAATTAACCATTTTTCATACCAGAATACTTTAGACCTAGAAAGATTCACCCCCTGACTCACAAGCATTTTTTGGCTGAGCCTCATGGTGCTAGGCACCTCCTGGAATCTCATAGCAATTACTCCCTCAAAGTATCCTCATATTGGCTTTACCAAGATTAGACTCACATTTTCTCTGTCTCTTGACAAAATATTTATTAACTTACTAATAAAAATTTCACACCGGTCGCCTTGGTAACCAGCTGGACATGTACATGAATATTCAAGTCCATTGTTAACACAGGTGGCGCCATTCAAACAAGGAATACTTGCACATGGCAGTACAACTAGAATAAGAAAACAATACACAATTTTAGGATGATTATTTCTAATGTACTATATTTTTACTATAATAAAAACAAAGTACAGTATATATAATATTTACTATTTTACTATATTTTTTAAGGAATTTTACATAAATTATATGGGTACAATAACTCACCTGTATCACATACTTCAAATGTAAGGATACAAAATTTGACTTACCTATACATATTACACTTTTAAGAGATACAATATCTACTCATCTGTATCACATATTACACCGGTAAAAGGGGGTATACTTGACTCACCTATACCACATATTACACCTGTAAAAGTGTTACATCATCAGACTGACCTGTATCACATTACACCTGAAATTAGGGTACAGAATTTGACTTGCCTGTATCACATGTTGAACCTGTAAATACCTGTATCACATGTTACACCTGTAGATAGGGCACTGTACAACTTCTGACTCACCTGTATCACATTTTACACCTGTAAAAGGGGTACAACATCTAACTCACCTGTATCACATATGTTACACCTGTAAATGGTGTACATCTGAATCACTTGGATCTCATGTTACACCTGTAAAAGCATACAGAATCTGACTTACCTGCATTGCATGTTACACCTGTAAATAGGTACATCTGGCTCACCTATATCACATTTTACACATGTAAATAGGTACTGTACAACATCTGACTCACCTGTATCACATGTTACACCTGTAAAGCCTGACGAACAATCACACTGGAATACTCCATTGTCACTGCTGCAAGTTGCTCCATTCTGACACGGGGAACTTAAACAGGCATCTACAGTAGCTATAAGAGCAAAGAAATTACAATTATTATTCCCAAAAGGAAAATATGTAGGCCAAGTAATCCTGTTTTTTTTTAAATAATTATTAATAATAATAATAACACTGTAATAATAATAATATTAAAATAATAATAATGAACAATAATGAATAATAATATTTATTAATTGGAAATTTTAGTTGTATATAGATGCCTGTTACAGAATTAATTTTTGTCACATAATGCTTATATAACTTATTGTTTTGATACATATTCTGCCATGGATTTTGGTGCTATACAAATTCTTGTTGATTGATTGATTGGAAAAATATATTTCATTTTAAAATATTGATACATATTTAAAACTTACGTGTTTTGCACTGGATGCCCATAAATCCTGAAGTGCACAGGCACACTACACTGCCTCCAGCTTGGTTTACACACATCGCACCATTGAAGCAGGGTTGCAGGAGTGCACAGAAATCATCAGCTGGAATGCATACAAGTCAACTTTAGATATTGCTACATCTGCCATAATGGTTGCATTCACCATTGTTTGTATGTTTGCGTATTTATTTGTTAACAAGATTCATTTAAAAACAATCAATGGATCACCATAAAAGTTAGTGGAACAGACATATTGGTGTTCTAAGGAAATGATTAAATTTTGTAAGTGGAAAGGTCAAATGTCAAGGTCATACAAAGTCAAATAAATTGGTGTAGTGAAGGTATGAACTCCTGCACCTGCTCTAGTTTAAGAGTGATTGGAGAATGGAATCAAAATACTAATAAAAATATAAAATCATAAATTATTAATTCATTCAAATTTAATGATCTTACAGTTTTTAAGCCCTGTTGGAAGAGTTTGGCTCGATTCCCAATAATGATAAGGTTTAAAATACATACAAATATTTCACTTCAGAATTTTTCTGGCACTGTTTTGTGAACCAATATATAATATTATTACATAATACTACTATATCTCAATTTTGATAGATTTTAAATTACTTAATGTTTCTCAATCAGACAAAAGGACTACATTGAAAGTAATGAAGTTGGTGACTTAAAGTACATATTGTAGATTCCAATAAATATAAATTATCGTTAGTAGTGAGTACTTTTAAATTATGCTTTAAAAATTGTAATTGAGTGAGTGACTGGTGCAAAAAAAATCAATGTGTGACATAGTCAATTCAATGTGCAATCGTGAGACAAAATGTGAGTTGTGTAAAGATAAAGCATTCATTGTTATTGACACACTAAAAACAGATATTTGCCTTATGAACTTGTGTAAAGAGGGGTTAAAGTCAGTAATGTGTAGGCTTATATGTAAACAGACCTTCCCTTACAAACTATTGTTATGAAAGATTTATGTTCCATACAGGAAAGCAAACATGGAAAAGATGGTAAGGCATATCAGGAATCAGGGAAAACATGCAGTTGTTCATTTACAAACACAGGTGAATAAGGTACAAAGAGGAAGTGAGTGGAAACAAAACATTTCAGTTATGTAAAGTAAGAAAACGATTAAAAAAGCCTCAGTTCAATCAAAACTAAACAGGGTGGGTACTTAAGTTTAAAAAATACAGTAGTAGGGCAATTGGGGAAAAACAACCTAGCAACAATATTACGTTTTAAGAACTTATAATAATGTTAAAGTTTGGTGTTGAAAACGTTATTTTGTAGAACCATATACGTAATTAGAACGTAATTTCGCAACTACATAATGTTTGAATGTTCTTGCAACATAGTGTGAATGTAAACCACAATGTTATAAAAACATTATGTTTTTGCTGGGAAGGTCTGCAGAGATCGTAAAGCACATTGGTGATCTACAGCTTGTTTTTGTGTAGTACTGTAGGCCCGGCTTAAGATAAACATGGAGAAGTGAAAACTAAATATAAGGACAATAGAGAGTATAAGAAAATAGAGGAAAGGAAAGGTAGAGAGGGCTTTTAGACATGAAACATTCATGTTTGAATATCATCCCGAGTCATCACTCTCATAGTTTTTACAATATATGTGGCAAAGACAAGCCAAACCAGTCACTCGTCGCAAATCCTGTTTTGGAGATAATGGCCAAAACATGCTGGAATGTCACAATTTTGGAAATCTATTTAATTGGACTAAACTAACCTTTATATATCTATACAGTACATCATGCTATGCTGTTATTTTCCTCATTTTCAATGTTAAAACAACAATTTTTAACGATTTGGTGATGGTTTCTGCCTAAGAAATGCCTAAAATCGTAAACTTTGAAGGCTGATTTCTCAAATATTGTTCTTTAAACAGCTGTATGTTTAAACTCGTTTAACTTCATAACAAAGTGTCGGATTTAAATGATTTTTTTTACCATTTTATAGCACTCATTGTACTGTTAAACCCTGTATTAATAACTAAAAATTGATTTTTCTGACGAGTGACTGGTTTGGCTTGTCTTTGTCACATATTGGTAGACATTATTGATATTATGTTTGTGCTGAAACTATAAATAATAAAACCAAGTAAATATTATTGCATAACAAAAATATGTAAAATACAATACAAAAGAAGTGCACTGCAGGAAATACCATAAAATAGGAATATAATTTAAGAAAAACAAGCAAAAGAAAAATTTGAACAAAGCAGTAAAAACAAAAATAATTACCTAATAATGCTGGCAAGCATTGTTTGTTTTTGAAAGAGAAGAAATTTGGAAACATTAAATTAACTTATGTATACCTTTCGGTTATAATTACACAAAAATTTTAAATAATTATGTTCATTGCATGATCGTTATTTATTTCTATTTTTATTCATTAAAAATACAATTGCTTAGGATGCATAATAATACAGAACCTGAGGATAATAATGATGATGATGATCGGTGATGATGATGATGATGATGATAATGATAATGATGACTGCAGCGATGATGATAGGAAGGAGGATGATTTGTTTATGATAAATGTGATGAAATGATATTGTCATTACAATACACAATAGTTTATATTGATGATGGCATTTTTCAATCAAATTCTTCGTTAACCTTGATGGCCAATTCTATACAAAACCAAGGAACATACAAAAAATGATAAAATGTAAAATTAATAATATACATTAAATTGAATAGTCAGACATCAAACGATGTCCAAAACTTAAAAGCAAAAGTAATAAAAAGTAGTACTAATTGATATTGATGATGATGAATGAAGATAATGAATGACGCATGATGGAGATGAATGTTGATGATGACATTAATGATGATTATGATTTAATATGATTATGAGTGATGATGATAGCAATGATAAATGATGATAATGATGAAGATGACTGATGAACAAGGCAAAATAAAAATATTATTGTGTTGGCCACGCCTGACCGACCCAAAATGTACGAAATTGATGTTCGGCATTTTAGTTTTTTTGTATTTTTGTTGTGACTACAACAATTTTTTTTTTTTAATGAGCTAAAGAGGCTGGAGTAAGACTCTTGTCTTTAATGAAAGGATTTGTGATGAATAGGAAAGTAACAGGCCTTGAAATAATTCCAATTACCAAAGCATTGTAATAATAACATTTATTGATAATCATCAAACCAATCATTTGAACTTAATTAATTTTTATTCTTCTCTGTTGT